CCATTTTCAACGGATTTTTACCCTAAAAAGGTCACCTAGAATTTTCGGGAGCCTTTTTTCTGGCTGAAATTTTCGAACAGGTAAGTTTTGATCCCTATAATTTTCGGATCATTAGACTTTCAGCTAGGAAATCCGAACAGATGAAAAATTTATAGGGGATAAAAATATGCCCATATCCACCGTTTAAATACTAAAACACGTTTAACAATGCTATGTTTAAGTGATTTTGAACTATATTCTCGTTGGGTGCCCCTGATTCATGAAAGTATACATTAAGTAACAATTCTCCGCTGTTTTGTGTATGTTTGTTTTCACAATAATCTCGATACTTATTGATATTAATACGTTTTCTCATTAGTCGCTCGTTCGTGGTATTGCAAATGATTTTGTTACATACATATTAGGGCTTGTAAAGAGGGATCAAACACGCCTTAAAAATAAGCCAAACAAACAAAATTAATGAAAATGCAATCTCTTTTTCCCTTACTTCGTCCTCGGAAGACTTCATAGTTGTCGCTTGAAAACCTTGATCTCGCCCGTCTGGTTTTCCCGCCAGATTGCGAAAATGTGACATAAATAAGGTTAAAAAGTCGACCCGAAGCGTCCCGACAGGAAGCTCAATCATTTAACCGGAAGTCTCTCTTCATTTTGCCAAACTACCGCTGAATTGTTAATTGAACACCGAAAACTCACCCTCCCTCTACGCCCGTGGAAAATTGTCACCTCTCCAGCACGATACAGTTCGTGACATCAAGGCAGAAGTGCTGGCGGTGGAGAGATACTGGTCAAAAAAGTTCTTACACCTTCTTTTGGTGAGCCTTTTGCCTTAAAAAAAGGTACGTACAACTTCTTTTATGAAAATACTGCGAGGCAAAGTTTATTGTACGGCAGTAGAGTCGATTAATTCATCCTAATTTTGCCATTGCTCTGCCGGGTCAGCTGGACAATCCGAGTCGAGTCTAAATATTGCTTTGTTATTTAAATGTAAGCTTTACATCAGTATTTACACAACTTTACAGCACTTTAACGCTAATATTAAGTAAATGGGATCATGATATTTTCTATATTTTCACGCATGAATGGCATTCTTTACGTGATTAGACGGACCTAGACACGGGAAAGTTCTCAATTCATTTATTTCACAACAAGAGATTTTGAATCGAAAAGCTTCAAGGCACATTGACTATATCAAAAAACCACTGGATTTTTATAATTTACCAGCCCTTTTACTATTTGTTATCACTTTATTAGATATATCACATTGTTTTGCCAAAGTATGTGTGCGCATTCCAGGTGCGGATCCAGGATAAATACTCGGCCGATTTCCTAAACGAGCGCCGAAGGCGCAAGATTCTAGAAGGGTCCGGGGTGCGGGCTCCCCGAGGAAATTTTTTGGGATTTTTACTCCTTAAGTCCCCTTTCCTGGGTTTCCGAGTCATTCGGACAGGATATTGGCCAGATTTCAACGTCGATAGCGTTTTTATTATTAAAAATGTATTATTATGACTGAAATGTCACCGATTTCCGTTAAACGGTGGAAACCGGTGTGGATTCGCGACCGCATTCTTTCACTGGACGTAACCGGCGTTGCATGCAGTTAGATAAATCTTAAGTATCACATGGGAAACAAACTGAAGCTGAGTCTTATAGAAAAAAAGATCGCTTGTGTATTGTGTGATGCGTTACCAATTATGCAATAGGTCAGACTGAAACTTATACTTGACATGAAGTACTGATACGGACACCGTAAAGACACAGCAAAATATTAGAGAGGTGTCCCACGTAGTACAGAGGTCACCACAATGACTCCACTGGCAATTGTACCTTTTATTTGTAATTGTTACTGTAAGGCCTAGGCCAAACGTTGAACTTTACATGAGACGAACCAAACCTAGCTGAGTTAAGTTTTGAAAAGTTCGACCTCTGACTCAGTTAAGTTCGGATCGTCCAACACATTGTTCTATCCGTCTGAAGATCGTCTCCGGGACAAACGTCGATCATCACATCGGACGAACTAGACTAAACCGTAAAAAATTAAAGACTTGTATGATAATGTATATTTAGCCTCGTTCTTAAGAAAATTTGTTACTGATCTCATTGATTCGACGCGTCCTAAGTTCGGTCCGATCCAAAAAACGATCGTAACTTAATTTAGTTTTAGGTCGATCTCTTGGTCACATGTTAAAGTATTTGATCATTAATAACACGAATTGAAGATTGAGTGCATGAACAAAACGTTGATGTTTGCATAACAAAACAAATTGCTGTACTGATGTTACGATGTTATGAGACTACGAGACAAGCGAAGTCAAGGGGAAAGAAAAACTGCCAACGACAACAAACATGTCGATGACACAAATGCGAACTAAGACAGCAATGGACCTTAAGAGGGTTGACAGAAATGTGAAGAATTTGAGAGATAGCTTTTTCCTCATTTTTTATCGTTTTGAAAGTTACTTCTTCATCCTGAAATGTGAATTTTTTTTTTACTATTTATCTATTATAGACAATGGCATCCAAGGGACCGGAGTGTACAATCTGTTTTGAACGTTTCAATGACGAAAACAAATGTCCTCGGATGCTGAGTTGTGGACACAGCTTCTGCTCGTGTTGCTTGGAAAGGTTACTCCGTGGTAACACCATTGATTGTCCCAAATGCAGAAATCCAGTTGTCGTTCCATCTGGGGTCCATGGTCTGTTAAAGAATTTTGCGTTACTGGACATCGTGAACGAAGCGGCAGAGAAACGAGAACATGCTGAAAATACCGGTGATGTTGGTTCTCACGAATGTGAAGCTTGTGATGAGAAACACCCTGCCAATTTCTGTTGCCTTGACTGCAAAGAAAACATGTGCAAAACTGCGGCTCAGTTTCATACTCGCAACAAGGCAAGTCGTGACCATCGGGTTGTTTCCCTCGAGGAGCTGGAAGCAAACCCTCAGCTGGCTTCTGTATCGGTTCTCTGTCCAGAACATAACGATCAATTCCGCTTTTTTGACCAAGATTGTGGTCGTGTTATTTGTAGAGACTGTTACGCCCTTAATCATAGTGGGCACAAGTGTGTAGTAGCAGCTGAAGCTGCTTCAAAATACCGACAGGACATGGAGGCGCTTGTCACCAAAGCCAGCTCTCAAGTCGAAAAGATTAAAGTTGCCGAAGCTAAAGTGATGGGAGAAGTACTTTTAATGGAGGAAGCTCGCAAGGAACAGCGTGATAAAATTCAAAGCTTTTTTAGAGAGGTATGGCATATCTTTTTTATTGGGGTGAATGAAATTGATGCAGCAAGAAGTATCCCTTACCACTTACGAGTTACGATCCGCATTTTTTATTGCCGATTAATGGTTTTTGCTAACAATTGGATAAAGGAACAAAATAATCTCAACGTGGAATGTAGAATCCAATTATTTGTTACAATTATCCTAAACTAACACCAATGAACTAGATATTTAAGGGTAGTCCCTTCCCGGATCATGATTATTGAACGAATTCACCGAACTCACCTCGTAGCTAGACTCCCACACGGGACGTAAGACCTAAGAACGTCTGCGTTAAAGGCTTCTTTGTAGCCTGAGTGCAAACGTCTCCAATTTCCTTTGCACGCAGACTTCGGGGCGCACCTATCAACCGTGTTTTATCTGGATTCTTTGTGTGGAATAGATCCGCGGATATAACAGAGTGTGTGTTTTCTTTTGCATATTTATAGCTTTATTCCGCACTATCTAACCGAGAGCAAGTTTTGATGGATAAGTTGTTCAGTATACATCAACAGAAGGTATCGATCCTAACGAGGCAGCTAGACCAGTTGCGAGTAAACCAAAAATTTTTAGAGGATGCACTCCAACAAGCAAAGTCCTCCATCCAATCTCCGAGCGATGTTCAGTTCCTTCTCAACAGGTCGGATATAGTGTCCACGCTCGAGACTGAAGAAAGCTTCTCAATGGTGCTTGAGCCAGAGGCACAGTTTTTGCCGAAGTTCACCAAGGAAAAAAAGGACAGAAGGGTGAGAATTCAAATTGTGATTTTTGTTATCCATGAATTGGCCTGGGACCAGACATACGGTTTTCTTCGGGTGCCATTCTTTTCTCCGGGATGAATACCTAGTCTAGCAGGTATTCTTTACATAGCAGTTGTCATTTACCCTGGTCCAAGACCGTGTAAGAGAGAATGAGCTGCACAAAGCGGCGATCTTGTAGCAGTTGTCATTTGTCGATTAGTCTTTATACCTGTTCTTGTTATGTTTTGAAGCCGTAGTTAGGATATTTCTTTTTCGCAAAACGTGTCGTAAATTTTCCGCCATTCTCTCTAGCTCTACCAAAAGAGCCTGAGCTGAGCTAACACAACCAGTTCCTCAGGGCTTCACGGTTGTCTACCTTTTTCTGCAGTTATCCTGCACTATTGATACCTCTTTTTGGGGATAACTCAAATATCGTCTTAATTTGGTCAACGCTAACTAGTTCTGAAGAATTTGCCAAGGATTTGAGCCAATTATTAAGACGGAATCCACCAGGAAATTGAGTAATTTTAATTTTCAGTGGACAAAAACCTTGTACCAGAATGAGTTAAAGAATGTATTGTATTCTTTTTTACATTTTTCAAGGGCTAAAGACGTTGTAGTAAATCATCTGTAGTAACACCAAAGAAAATTTTTCATCGAAGTGCGAGAAAATGAATGTCAAATTTCACAAGAATTGTGATTACGCAGGTAAAATTCTGAAAATTTTATATGTAAGATGTAATTTTTTGAAATTTGACATTCATTTTCTCGGGCTCCCAGTAAGAAATTTTTTTTGGTGTTACTACAGATGATTTACTACATCTTTAGCCCTTGAAAAATGTAAGGAAGAATACAATAAAATTATGCTTTAAATTATTCTGGCAAAAGATTTTTGTCCTCTGAAAATCAAAATTACTCAATATCCTGGTGGATTCCGTCTTAATCTCTTTTTACAATATAGTGGATGCAACGTGCGTTGCCTGTATAGACAATGTGGGAAACTAGGACTCAGTATGACGTCAATATCACGTGTTTTTGTTTTGGGAAAATCCCAACCCCCACGAGCTTTTCCCTTGCTCGAAGATTCTGAGTTTTTTCTGTTGTTGTCTCTGAGAGTTATTCTGAGAAGCTGCATTGCTAGTCTGAAGGTTTTGGATTATAATCTTGAAGATCATCAGAAGAAAGTCTACTATTGTGTCTGTTTTATTCAGATAATTATTATACCAATGGTGTGGGCCGACTTTGCGCACAGTCGTTGCCCATGATCGATTGGAGTACAGACCCACCAAATTGCATTTTTCAGTTCACAAATATATTTCTCCACGAATTCATCCATTAGTTGCTTAAAATTTGGTTGTCGCAAAGTCAATTTTAGTTTATAAAACTGCTAAGAAATAGAATATCAAGTGAAAGATGACTAAGCGTCCCTGAAGCGTGCCAGGTAAATCGTTTTTTAGTAAATGAGCTTTTCAAAATTGAATTTGTAAAGAATGTAAAATGCAACGATCTCTTTCAGCCTATCAAGTACCGTCTTAACAAGAGTATAGAGGAAGCTATCCAGAGAGCAGGCGACATCAATGACAGATCAACTTGTGCAGCAAACACTACTGCGACTGGCCCGGGAATAACAACTGCATTCCCTGGAATAAAGGCGACATTCACTATTACTTCTCACGACAGCCGAAACTTTCAACGCAAGCTTGGTGGCGACGTTTTTGTGGTGAAACTGAAACCAGAGGTGGGCGGAGATGAATTAAATGTAGAGATAAACGACCGAAAGGATGGAACTTACTTGGCAGAATATACTATCGACGAGTTGTATGGTAAATTGACATTGTCCGT